GGGGGGGGGGGGGGCAGCCTGGCGATTGTACTGAATGTCGCGCCGCCATTAATAATGAGGCATGTGAGGACGTATGGGTGTGCCCAACAGCAGGAAGCTACACCCGCATGAGCAAGGTGGCAACGCGACCCGTCGCCTGCGAAGCACCGCCGCCCCCGGTCCAGGAGCAGCAAGCTCGCGCCCGCTGCACGCCCAGACGCGCATGGGAACGTCCCTCAGCCCCAGCGCATCCCGCCCCGGGCCGTTGCCGCCGGCATCCGCCTCCCGGTCAACGCCGCGGTGCGGACGGCGCTGCACTTGCATCCCCTGCATTATGCTGAGGCGTCAACCCGGTCGCGGGCACTCGAAATTGTCAACTCACGGGGATGCGGGGCTCCACAATGTTTGTGGCGGCCAGGGCGGCCTGCAGCTTCTCGGCAGCCGGCGCCATGTAGCTGGTGTGGAACGCGCCCGCCACCGACAGGCGCACCTGAGGCAGCGGCGGCGGCGCTGTGGCGCTTGAGCAGATCTTGTTTCACGCGGCTGGGCTGGGGCTGTCTGGGAGCGGCCATGCAACTGCTAGCCCAGCCTGAAACAGCGCGAGCAGCTCCACCCTCGCGCCGCGGCGCCCACCGAGTGGCAAACCCGTCACATGACTGGCACAAACAAACAAGCGCGCGCGTGCACGCTCGTCGCGAGGCAGCACGGCCTCGTGATGACGTCATCATGACTCCCCGTCTCCCTGCCCCCTCCCACACACCCCTCACCGTCATGCGGGCCTTGAAGCTCTTGCCCAGCTTCTCCACAGCTTCGCAGCCCTCGATGCTGCCCGACACGGCGTAGTTGCCTTTGGGGGGTCGAGCACGGACCAGATCTAACGGCTCCATGAAGCGGCCCAAGCAGCCCTCGACACAGCCAGGGCATGGAGCCCTGCGGCCCGCTGCAGCAGGCTTACGCCCTACCCAAACCCAACCGCGACCTCTGGAGGCTCGCGGCCCGCCGGCGCCCCGAGCGGCGCAGCCCCGGCGCCGAGGCCGTGGCCCCGTCCCCCCGCAGCCCCTCACCGTTGCAGAGGTAGTTGGCGATGCGGATGGCCTTGTCCTGCCCCACCTCCTCGGTGGCCGCCTTGCACAGCTCCTCCACCTTTGGGGTGGGGGGGGGGGTGATGGTGTCAAGGACAGGGCGAGTTTTGGTGACGGGGTGGAGGCCCGAGGGCGGGGTGGAGGAGCGATGGGGGGGGATGGGTTTCAACGACGCGATGAGTTTGATGGTGGGGCGAAGGATTGAGGTGTGTGACGCCGCTCAAAGCGGTTGCGACGGGTAACACTGCTGCGACGTGGTGTGCCGGACGCATGCCTCCAAACCACACAGTCGTATGGATTCAATTGAGGATGCCGATTCAGGTCTGGCACCTTCCAACCACACGTGCTGCATGTTCGGACGCTGCATTCCCCCCCCCTCTCTCTCTCTCCCACACACCCACACACCCACACACAC